AGCCCTGGGGAGGCTGTGCTCCTGTGCTCATGTCCTGCCCTCCCTCAAGCCTGTGGCCTCCTGGGCATGTGGCGGGAGCTCCAGCTGTGTCCCTTTCCTTCCCGACAGTCTTCGGGGAGGTAGGGCGTCTCGGTGGCCAATGCCGAGAGCAGACTAGGGGCTGGGGGGTGAGGAGGCAGCTGCCAGTTAATGGGGCTCCGACACTGCCACCTCCTGGTCAGGCCACAGGGATGTGAGATGACAACCAGACACACCCTCTGTCCACTCCCCCCCCTGCCCCCTGGAGCATCAGTGAAAGAGCCTGCCTACCCCAGGGCCTGGGGGAGAGGAGGGACCCCTCCAGCCCAGCCTGGACTTGGATCAAGCCAATAGGCTTCAGATGCCAACTCAGCAGGCATTTCCTGTGTAACACTGGGCACTCTCTTCCGACAGCCTCTGTTTCCTCTTCTGTAAAATGGGCATCATTGACCTACTTCCTGGAGTCTGACTCAGCAGCTGCTCCTTTCCTCTTCCCCTTCTTTAAAGATGGGAGCCTGGGGCCAGGAAGATAGTGCCGGAGGTATGGACTGAGTAGATGTTGAATCCTTTCTTTGGAATTGGTGAGAACTGACTTCTTTTCTGGAACTTTTCAGCTTTATGACCGTAGCTGTGGCCAAGCCCATACGGCAACGAATCCGAAAAGTTGCGCCTTCCTCTAGGCCTAGGTAGCCACGTGCTCGTGTCTGCACTTTATCCTCTTTGCTGGCTGGGTGCCCTGAGCAGTGCACTACCAGTACAACTGTACATGGCCCCTGTGTATGCACCCTTGGGAAAGCCATGGTTTCTTAACCTCTCAGCCTTTTTTTTTTCCTTCTTCAAAGAGAGGAATGCCTTTTTCTTTTTCTTTTTTAAAGTTTTATTTAGTTTTGAGAGACAGAGCGTGAGCGGGGGAGAGGCAGAGACACAAAATCTGAAGCAGGCTCCAGCTGACAGCACAGAGCCCGATGCGGGGCTCGAACTCACAAACAGCGAGATCATGACCTGGGCCGGAGTCGGATGCTTAACCAACTGAGCCACCTGGGCAACCCAGCCTCTCTAGGTTTCTGGGCTTTAGTGTACTCATCTATAAAGTGGGGTCCTACAGTTATTTCTTCCAGGGCTCCTGGGTGGCTTGGTTGGTTTAGTGTCTGGCTCTTGATTTCGGCTCAGGTCATGGTTCCGGGGGCATGGGATCGAGCCCTGCCTCAGGCTCCACGCTGAAGCAGGGAGCCTGCCTGAGGTTCTTTCTCTCTCTCCTTCTGCCCCTCTCCCCACTCTCTCTCTCTCAAATAAAAAAATTTTTTTAAATATTATTTCTTACATATTCCCAGAAGTGTTAAGAAGTTCACATACACTGCAAGTCTTTCTCTTAGAGGAACCAGAACCTGTTACACCCTCCAGCACATGTTTACAACCAGACGGGGAGCCTGTGAAATGTGAGCCACGCCCTCTTCAAGGTCACACATATCAGAGACTCCCGCCTGGGCTCTGGTCCGGGCCTTTCCTGCTGGAGTTAGCGGCGGGGGGGGGGGGGGGCTCTGGCCCTGGCGGACCGGGCCTCGGTGGACCCAACTTTGACGTGCACACTGGAACCAGGCTGAGTTAACCGCTGGGCAGAAAGGAGTAGCACCAGGCATCCTCTCAGGCAGCTGCTGGTGGGGGTGAGGGGTGGCTGGCTTCCACACCTGTAGAGCACTTAGTCCATAATGGGTGTCTGACAAATATCCATCCACGGCTATTGCAAAAACCACTACCTTCCCGATCCCCTAAGGACTCAGCGGCCCCACTAGATGCCAGGCCTTGTGTGAGCACTGGGGTCACAACAAAGCACGACACAGGCTCTGCTTCCAGGAGCTCACCGGAGAGTGGGCAGGACAGACAGGTTGGCAGGTTTTACAGAGGGAAAGGGTAGGTAGGAGGTTGGTGGAGCGCAGAGGAGGTAGAGATGGTCTTAAGCCAGCCTTACTGGAGCTGGGCGTCAGGGAGGAAAGTTTCCCGGACAATCCGAAATTCGCAATGGGGTTCTTGTCTCCACTTTTTGGATGTAGAAACCGAGTCTGGGAAAGGCCACACAGCTGTTCACTGATGGGGCTGGGACTCTAGGCCAGGGCTGCCTAGCTTCAAAGTGGGAGCTTTGTCACCGACAGCAGGTCTGGGCCCTGCCTCCCAGTTCATTCTTTGGGGCGCTTTTGGGATTTTGGTTGAAGGGTGAGCAGGGGCTGATCATGAGGGGCCTTGAATGCCAGGCCAGGGAGTCTGGGCTTTCTTCTGAAGGTCTGGGGCAGCCACGGATGGGTTTTCGGGTAGGGCAGCAGGTAGAGGCAGAATGGCCTGGAAGACTACAGAGGAGCAGGAGTTTGCCAAAAGAGGTGGCCTCGGATGTGGAAACCACAACAACCCCAGCCTCCCCTGCTGCCCATAAGGAACGAAGAGGGGTGTTGGGTGTCCTGGGGACCAATGCCTCAGGACTCAGGTGTGGGCCTGGGGTTCCAGAAGGGCCCCAAGATCCAGCCCCTGGCAGGGAGGGGGCCCGAACTCACACCTGGGCCGGGGCTGGGCTGGGAGGGTACGGGAAGGGGAGCTGGTTCCCATTTCCCAGGGCAGACATCAGAGGTGGAGTTAGGTAGGGCAGGGCCCAAAGTCCTGAGGGCAGGGAGCTATTTCCTCTTTCCCACAGTGTGAACTGTGTTAACTACGTCACTCCTGCAGCCCCCACCCACTCCAGTCCCACCTGGCACCAGATAGGCCCTGGCTAGGGGGCTGTGGGACAAAGAGGCTCTAAGAACCAAAGCCCCTCAGTCCCTCTGTTCCTCAGGAGGGGAAAGACAAAAAAAAAACAAAGCAAGCCAGAAACGGGGCTCTCCCAGCACACAGCAGCCCCACCCAAGCCTCATCCTTAAACTATATTTCAGTTTCCTTGAGTCCCCCACTGACCCAACCCTGATCCCAAACCCAGTCCTAACCAGCATCCACATCATTGGCGATCCCGACATCAACCCAATCTCAGACGCACCCCAATTCTAAACCTCACCCTGAAGTCCCGCCCCACCCTCTGCTCCCTCTAACCTTGGCTCCCGACTTGAACTCCTACACTAACTGCTCGTCCGCCTTGCCGCAGCTTAGCCCCGACCCCAGCCCAGAACCTTAGGCTGACCCTAAGCAGCTTTCCCCTTCCCCAGCTGTACCCCAGATCTGTACCTGGTGTTCACCTCCATCCCAATCACAGCAGACTCTACCCTTACGCAAACGTCTAGCCTCACCTTCAACCTGGACTCCATCCATAACCCTACCAGACCTTATCCCATCTCTGACCCTCCCCGGGGGTGCGCTCCCACCCAGCGCTCAGCTAGCAGAGGCCGCCACGTGGCTGGACTTGTGCAGACCTTGGGGTGCACACACATACACACGCCCCTCAGCATGCACAGACATGCACGCACTCCAACGTGCCCCTCCCTCGGCTGGACTCCTCCAGCTCCTTCTTCAATACCTACTCTCTCCACCGAACGGTTCCTGCCCCTCTCCCAGCTTTCCTGGCTTCTAGCCTGGTTTGTTTGTACCTTAGAACCACGGAGCTCCCAGGGCTTTCCTCCTTCTGTGTCCTGGAGGCCTGGCTCACAACAGAGTCCGATGAACACCCACTGGACCAGGGCAAGTCCTCGTGGTGATCAGAGTCTAGAGGGGCAGAGACATACACCCGAGTAATCCTGCCCAACATTCCCGGTAGAGGAACGTGCCTGCTTCTATGGGAGCTACAAGAGGCAGCTAGGGATGGAGTGGGGGTTCTTTGGTCCGGGTCTTAAAGTTTGAGGAGGAGTTCACCTAGTGACAAGGGTGGCAGATAAAATAGCATGCTTAAAGGCAGGGAAGCATGTTCAGGAAGGGTTGGGGAGGTGAGCCTGGTAAGAAAGGCCAGGGCAGAGCGGTTAGGCTGGTCTAGTTGGGGAAGAAAGGGGTTGAAGGAAAGGCACACATGGTGGGGGTAGTCAGAAGGCAGAAACAGCGGGATGGAGAGGGCTGGGGGAGCAGCAGCCAGGGTATCTGGAGGGAGAGTGGAGGAGTTCATTCTAAGACCGTCTGAGACTGAAGGACAGACGGGAGAGCCAGGTCAGCACAGGCAGGCAGGTGGTCACCAGAGGGGTCAACCGGGGCCAGAAGCTGCTGTTGATATTGATCAAAATAATAATAATAGCTGAATGAGCTTTCACTGAGTGCTTCCTGTGTGCCAGGCACCGAGCTGAGCATTTGTATGACATCATTTAATCCCCACAGTGAGCCCACCAGGTGGGTGGTATTAGAATTATTGATCCACAAGGGATACTGAGGCTCAGAGAGGAGAAACAATTTGCCCAAGTTCATGCACATTAAAATCAGGCAGCAGGTAGGACTTGAACCCAGGCCTGTGGGACAGGAAGAGCTGAGGCCTCCCTCAAAGTCATAGTGGCCAAACCTAGGACCTGCCTTGGCCTGCGACTCATCTCTCATCATTTGAAGCCCCCTTGGAAGCCCCTCCTCCCTGCAGGCTGAACTCGTCACATTTCCCTGAATATTCCAGACCGTGTTCACCTCCTGGATGTTCTGCATATAGCATCCTGTGCAAGAAGTGGCCTTCTAACCCTTGCCCCTTCTCTAAGAAAATTCTACCCCTTCTCCAGAACTCAGCCCCGGCACAACCTTCTTTGGGAAATCTTTCTGAACTGCCTGCCCCAGGCTGGGTGAGGGGGCACCACCCTGGCCTCTCCACCTCCCAACCCCCACTCCCTGACCACCCTGCATTACCACTGTCTAGGCCTCCCTCCTTAAGGGCTGGGCTCGGTCTGCAGCCCCACCCCAGCCAGGGCCGGCCTATAGCAGGTGTCAGTGAGTGCGTGTGGTTGGTGAATGAACACAGGACCCACCTGGCTAGGGGTTAAAGTAGGAAGGAGCTCAGGGTGGGGCGGGGCTTCTGCCGGGCTTCTGGGACTGATCTCTTATTTGCCAGGGCTGTCTCCAGCCTTATCTGGTTAGGCCTGAGTTGAAAGCAAGCTGGTGACATGCTGACATGGTTCCCGGGTTACTCAGTAACCTTGCCCTCTTTAAAAACCCCACCGTTTCCCCCTGGCATCCAGAACCGACCGCTTCTCCCTCCTGGGCACTGCTGCCATGAATACCTTCCTGCTCTCTGCACTGTGCCTCCTGGGGACCTGGGCAGTCCTGGCAGGGGGAGTCACCGTACAGGTAAATCCTCTGTCCCTACCCCAGCCCGGCTTGCTCTCTGCTCCCAGTTCCCAGGGCCCGTCCCCTGAGAAAGCACCCCCTCTTTCTGGAGTTGGAGCAAGGTCTCAGGTGTGGCCCTTTCTCAGGAACCTGTTTCTCAGTCCTGTCTCGTATGCCCTCCCCTTCAAACTTGGACAGAAGAGAAATCACCATTTGGGAAAGCGGGTTGATTAGCCAATTTACTGAGGGCTTGCCAGGGCCAAGCTCCTCAAGGGAGGCCCCATGATCATCCTGGGAGAATGGGATTATTAGTCCCATTTTTCAGAGGAGGAAAATTGAGCCTCAGAGAGGTTCTGTAACTAGCCCTAGGCACACGGCTGGGAAGTGAAGGAGCTAGATTCAGTTCTAGACCTTCCTCTCAGCCAGAGCATCGACCTGGGTCTTGGGGAACCATGCGGGCATCCCAGAGCAGGCTGTAGCCTGGCCTGACACTCTGAATTTGTCTCTCTCAGGATGGAGAGTTCTCTTTTTCTCTGGAGTCAGTGAAGAAGCTCAAAGACCTTCGGGAGCTCCAGGAGCCCAGCATTCAGAACCGTAGGAAGAGTGGTGGGCCCGTGGTTCCCATAGCCTGCAGCCACCAGAAGTTTCCCGAAGAACTCAAGCCTCTCTGCAAGGAGCCCAATGCCCAGGAGATCCTCCGGAGGTTGGGTGAGTAGCTACCTCCCTGGTGGGTGGGGCCTGGGAACTCCCTGATTGGTGGCACGGGAGGGGGATGTGCTCTGATTGGTGGGTCTGATGAGGCGGTCGTAAGTAGTTCTAAGTTGTAATTGGTGGAGCTTGCTCTAGGAAGATCCCCGCTCTGCATCCCGCTTCTCCGGCCTTAGCAATTGCTCTTTCTGGGCGGCATCTCCATTCTGACTGGCTGGCTTGGGCGCTACCTGCTTGGGGGGGGGAAGACCAGCCGGTCGGAGAGGACAGGCCTGGGTTTCTCCTGGGGACTCCGGGGCAGATGTCCAAGCTCTGGCTCAAGGGAGGGCGGGGCCTTGGCTCTCTGGGCGCCCCATCTCTTGCGCAGAGGCCATCGCCGAGGACCCGGACTCGTGCGAGATCTGTGCCTTCGCTGCCTGTGCTGGATGCTAGGACGGTCGGCTCGCTGCCTCCTGCCCCGGCCGATGCTCCCACTGCCCGCAGCTCAGCCTACCCTGCCCCCAGGGGAGGCGTGAAGAGGGCGTGGCCTGGGGCGACCTGCGCAAGCACGGCCCCTGCCCCCCAAGATCCCCTCGGACCCTCAGCTAATAAACCAGATCCCAGAGTACTCCTGGTGTCGATCCTTCATCTGCCAGCCGACTCATCACCCAGCTTTATGGTTGCCTACTCTGCCCTCAAGCTCAGAGTTTACTGTGTGAAGTGCAAGGACCCTCCCTCCCTACTGACCTGGGGCTGCCATAGCACACAGGCACTGAGGGGACCTCAATCTGCAGGCCACCAGCTGGGGGGAGGGGTGGTGGAGCGGAATCTCTGCTTTTCTTTCACCTCCTCCGGGCGGGTAGGGGGAGGGCACCAAAGTCTCTGAGCCCTGAGTGAGCTCTGGAGTCCCTGGTCTGCATGTCCAGCCCAGTTTGGGTGGCTGTGAGACTGGCCCCAAGCTCTGCAGTGTTCAGGGGACCCCCAGCGCTGGCCCCCCTGACCACCTCAGCGTTGCCTCCTGCCCTACCCCCTGGGACCACACCTCAAGCCACCTCCCCTCACCTGTGCTCTGCTCCTCTTCCCACACTCCTGGCCAGATAAACTCCTGCTCAGGTGCCAAGGTTGTGCGCTCCCTTGGCCCCTCCTCAGAAGCCTTTCTTTACCCTCCCAGGGGGGTCTTCATGCTCCCGCTTTGTCCTCTGTGCTCTGTGGGCACTTGGATCACCCATGCCCCTTGCGAGGCTCTGGCCACCCTGTGCCATAATGGCTTCTGTGCCAGGGGAGTCTCTCTGACCCCCAGAGTGGGTGAAACCCACCACGCCAATGATTGCATGAGGATATGACCTAGGGCAGGCAAAAGCCAGAGATACCCAGTTCCAGCCCCATACCACATACTGTGCGCTGCTAGGAGAAGTCACTTTCCCTCTCTGTGCCTCAATCTCCTTCCCTGTAAAACTGGGACTGTACTAGTATCTGCCACCCAGGCTGGGAGAAGTAAACCAAAACATGGGGAACCAGAGCCAAGCTGAGAATGGTTCAGACAGGGGTGAGGAGGCGAGGCACGGAGGGCTGCTTGTTAGCAAAGTTAGAGGGAATGGGCAAAGAGGAGGTGACCAGGGTATTTCTTGGGGAGTCAGGTAGAGAAGTGTCACGGGGTGATTGAGGCAGAAGTCCTTGGGCAGCAGGATTCAGAGGGCGAGGTGTCTTCAGGGCCAGGTCAGGGGAGGCTCTGCAAAGGGGAGGGGTGGCAGGCATCTGCACGAGCGTTTGGGATAGGCACTGGGGTGGATGGACATTCAAAACCAATCTGGAGGGAGGGAGGCCGAGGGCGTTCCAGAAGGGGGAGTAGGTGCGGACCTAGAAGTGGGAAGGTCCAAGGCACTAGAATGGTTCAGTCTGGACAGGGTGGGTCCCGGGAGGCACCCAGGGCTGGGTTTGAACCTGACCATGTCACTTACAAGCTGTGTACAAATAATGCACGCAAATGTGTATGTAATGCTACTTACCCTACGAACCAAGTCTGCCTGAGACTTGGTTTCCTCATCTGAAAATGGGGATGATGACAGCACCTCCCAGGGCTGCAGGGGATTTGATGTGATGCATGGTGGGGCAGAATCATGAAACGCTCCCACTCTGGAGCTGAGCTCTGGGTGTGAATCCTGACTCTGCCTGTTACCGGCTGTGTGACTTTGGCCAGTTACTTAGCCTCTTTTCTCCTCAGTCTCCTTATCTGTGAAATGGGGATCACAAGAATCCCTACTTGGTAGGGTTGAGGGAAGGTTAAATGTAGTCACATAGGAAAAACTCTGAGAGCTCTGCAGGGCCCGTAGTGGACACTTCTGCTGCTGCTATTATCACAGTTTCTGTGTAGATGGCTCAGCTTGAGCCTGGCACATAGTAGGTGGTCAGTCAGTGGCATTTCCCTTCACTGCCTCCTCCCCAGGTACCTTTGGGCTCAGTTTAGAATGGAGTGCTGGGGAGCCCCAGAAGGATAAGGGGCCCTGTCAGAGCAGGGCTGCGGGGTTCCCCTGGCATGTTGGGTACAGAGAGTCTGCAGGATGCAGGGCCAGGGAGGGAGGTCTGCCTGGCCTGGGTAAATGTGATAAGGGCTCATCTCGAGTGGTGGTAAGAGAAGAGAGGGCCCCGAGAGTCACAGGCGGCATTGCAAAGGCCCCAGCCAGCCTTGCCTGTGGGGTGAGGGAGAGGAAGGAACTAGAACTCTGGGGTTTGTGGCCTGGTCGAATGGGGGGCTGTGGGGCTCATGAGCAGAGCTGGGCGGTTGGGATGGGGAGCTGGTCTGGGGAAATTCGCCATGGCCTTGGCCCTGGGTGATCTGAGTTCAGAGATCACCACCCCTTTATGCCTGGCTCTCCTCTCTGGCTGCCTGGGACAGGGGCTGTGGAAGGGCCTTCCATCGTGTGGAAGGGCCCTTCTTCAGGGAATGCCCAGCACGGCTCCTGCCTTGAGTGAAGGAGTTGGCTGCAGCTGCGAGAGTGTTGCATCAGGTGTCATCAGCGTGGCCAAGTCACAGGGAGGCAGCAACAAGATGGTTCAGAGCATGGGCTCTGTCCCCCACTGCCTGGGAAGAAGTCTGCTTTGCCACGTTGCCGAGCCTGTGGTCTTGGACGAGCTGGTTCTCTGTCTGTACCTGGGTCTCTTTATTCATAAAGTGGAGTATTTATAATAGCACCTGCTTCATCAGACAGTTTTGAGGACCCAGTGAGTTAATAAGTGCAAAGCATTTAGAATAGGGCCTAGGGTATAGCGAATACTCAGTAGATGTTGGCTATTATTGTTATTATTATTCCTCAGGGCCGCCAGGATGGAGTGAGGGAGGAAAGGTCTTCCTTCCATCTAGAGCTGGCCAGAGGGTCCTGGGGAGCCCAGGAAGGTAAGGATAAGGGCCAAGGCCCATCTTCTCAGGAGCCCCGGGGCGGAGGCAGAGCAGAAAACGGGCCTGGGGAGGGGGCACCACGTGGTTCTCCCTGCACCCACTACTCCTGCAGCCCCACCTCCTGGGGGACGCTCCCTGCCCTCCCTGCCCCCTGGTTGTTGCTCTGGCTCTGCCGCTGGGCCAGCCCTTGGGCTCGGCTTGTGGGGTCAGGTGGGAACAGGTGCTCCATGGTTTCTTAGGTCTGTGATTGTGCGAGACTCATTTCACTCCCCCGGCCCGCATCCTGGAGACTCCCTCCTCCTATATGAAATAGGGCTTGATGAACCAACTCTCCAGGCGCTGGAAACTGGGAAATTCCTGACCATATCATTAGATCAACCTTTTTCCTCAACCGCTCAGCTACCCGAGCGCCTCTGCCCATGGCTCCTGGGGATGAACAAATGGACTCCAGACTCCGTGTGTAGGTGGGGAATCTTTATTCAGCAGCAGGGCTGCCTCAGGGGCCGAACTCTCCTCCAGCCAAGTGTCCAACTGCTTTGTGCCCGATCTAGCCGCTCGAGCCTCTGGCTGGTGGTGATGACCTCAGGGTCCCCCCCGGAACTCGGGTGGGGGTGCAGGCTGTGAAGGCAGCGGGCTGGGGACAAAGTGTCCGGGGTGGGCTCAGGGAGCCCAGCCATCTCCGAGGCAGCCGGTACAGGCGACATTCACACACAGCTCACAGTCGTCATTAGCCATTGTCCCTGGGCAAGGGAGAAAACCGGTCAGCCTACCCTGCCCGTGAACCACCTGTGGTCCAGGGAGCTGCTGGCCGGGCAGCCAGAGAAGGCTGCTTCGGAGGGGGCCTGAGGGCGAGGACCAGCATCTTTCTCACAGATCAGGAGCATGATGATGGAGAAGCAGAGAGTGACTCGGGTTCAAGTCCTGGCCCTCGCCTTCCTAGCGGGGCCTGAGCATGCCTCTTACACTCTCCGGGCTGGAGTTTCCCTGCTGACTCTGTGGACAGCATCAACTGACAGGGTGGCCGTGAAGAGAGAAGACCAGCAAAGGGACTGACACAGGACTGGCACTTAGTAGGTGCTCAATAAATGCTAGTAAGTCGCTATTGTCACTGGCCAGTTCTGCTTCTTCCCTCACATTTCAGCTTAGATGTCACCTCCTCTTGGAAGTCTTTCAGACTCCTTATGCCACCCCAGACATGAGCCATCTCTCCTCTGTGTCCCCTGTGCTTCCCCATCAGCCACCGTATTGCAGGCATGGCCTATGGGTCTGTTGTCCGGTGCCCTCTTCCCTCCCATCCGTGACGTCTGGTAGGACAATCGACGGTCCAGGTTGCCAGGGCCTGAGGGGGCAGGCCTTGACTCTCCCTGGCCCGGCCACTGGGTGCTTAATGGAAAGAACGGGCAGTGGAGGAGCTGGGGTGTGGGCAGGACAGCGAGCCAGAGGCAGGGAGCTTCGCAGGGGTGGGGGCACTCACTCAAAGCCTGGAAGACGCTGGCTGCTTCCCTGGATGCACAGATGGGCTGGAGGTCCTGTGGCAGGGCCGGGTGGTGACACACGGAGGGCACGAGGCTCTGGGCCTGGAGGCGGGGGTTGGGCAGCCACTGCTGCTCCAGGTTACTCAGCTTCTTCACTGATTCCAGCTGGACCTGGAAGCCTTGGTACTAGGGGGGCAGGGGAGAGGAGATGAGAGGGATCCGCAGAACCTTCCCTGTTCTCAGGGGGGGTCCAGGCCATACTCAAAGGACAGCCTGGGAGGTGGGAGCAGGCACCTGCCACTTCACACCCCATCGTGCCTCAGGCCCCCAGGAACTGTAGATGAGGATCCCATGGGGCTGGGGAGCAGGTGGTTCAGGGCACGGGCTTTGGAGACCAGTGTAAACCCCCTCCCCCACCCCGGTTCAAATCCCAGCTCTTCCCAATAGGCCGCCTGTGTCTTCTGCACTCTGAGCGTCATCTGGCAAATGGCCCCTCCCCAGCGCCTGCCACCAGTACAGTCCACGCTGGGTAACTGGACGATCACCCCTGAACCGATGTGGCAAAATGATGGCATCCCCAAGTTGGCCGGGTTCCAAGGCCAGGGACGCAGGGATGGGGGGGAAGGTGACTCTTCCCGTCCCTCCCAAGGAGGCTCCACCCAGAGTTGGGAATGTGACAGGGCCACAGACCTCCCCACTCTTGCTGGCCAGCGGCATCCCGCCGCCTGGCAGGCAGACCCTGCTTCCACGACTCCCTCCAGCCTCACAGTTGTCCAGGAAGGAGCCCCTCCCCCCTGCTGTCTTCTCTCTGAGCCTTTGCATATGCTGTGCCCTCTGCCCTGAACTGTCCTTGTCCTCTGTGCCTAGCTACCTCCCGCTCATCTTGCAATATCAGCTCAGTTACCTGCCAGGGAAGCTCTTCGGGTGACTCTCCCCCCCTCCACCCATTAATGGGAGAATATAGGGAGCTGTGGGAGAGCCCCCTCCTTCTGGGCTCCTGAAGGGCAGGGACTATGTCTTGTTCCACCTTCTGACCTCTGGCCAGGACCGGCCTTCTGATAGAGCAATGCTGAATAGCAGCGGTTTATTATTGCCATCACTGCTATCATCACTCCCTTCAGCGTTCTCGCTGCTACCACCCACCAGCTGTCTTGGTCCCTGGGTCGTGCTTAGGTGTTGGGCTGAGCCCTGGGCCCACCAGCCCTTGCTCCCCTATATCCCATGACGTTTCTAACGTCCCCTCTCCATCCCAGCCCCTCACGGGGGGACCTTCAGGCAAAGGGCACGCTGGCCGGAGGGACTCACCTGAATGTAGACTGACTGTGTGCCCTGCAGAAGCACCAGGAGGAACACAGCCATCCCGGACAGGAGTCCTGACGCCATCCTGCCGCGCATCTCACGCCGTCTGTATCCCGCTGCTGCTCCCACAGGCTCCCACCTGCTTCCCCAGCGAGCAGCTCTTTATAGGCCAGGCTCCAGTACCCTTGCCACTCATTAACTGGCCAGCTGGGGCGGGGTTGACAGCTGGTTGGCTGGCTGGGGGTGATGAGGGCAGAGAGGCCCAGAAAACTCAGGAACAAGATACTATGTGTCAGGCACCTGTGTGGGCGGCTCTGTGGGAGGGCCTTGGATACACCCCTCTCCTTAGCTCCACGAGACACCTATTTACATGGAATGATGGGGAGACCATTGTACAGACTGGGAAAGTGAGGCCCAGGAGGTGAATTAACTTGCCTCAGGTCACCAAGCTAGTCAGTGACACAGCAGGGACTCAAGCATCTTTGACTCAGGTCAGCCTATGGTCCTTTCTCCGGGCAAAGGAGGCAGATAGGCTGGTCCAGGGTGACATGGGCAGACACAGGACTGATGTCAGCACTCTCCGTGGCTCTGGACCTGATTGTCTCCTGACCCTCCACCGGGTTCAGTTTAAGGCCCCTCCTCCCGATCGGTCCCCACCCGGGCCCTCAACCTGCCTGTCTCTGCCACCTGCAAATGGTGCTCGGGACCCTCGGGCCATGTTTGACCCATCTCACCTGTCCGTGCCTCGCAGAAGCCAATCGCCTAACCCAGCATGCTATTGGGTTAGAGGAGGAGGAAAGAACGCCGACCTTGGGGACAGATTGACCTCGGCTCGAATTCTGGTCCTGCTGCCGCTCTATCAGTTTGGACAAGTCACCTCAACGCTGACTGAGCCTGTTTCCCCTTCCATCAAATGGGCATAATGACAAAATCCACTGCATGAGGTTGCTGTGGGGGTGATGGGGCCGGGTCCACTGAGTAATACTTGCCCCCTAATCTCCTTCTAGGCAATGTGTAACCCACTATATCCGTGGCTGAAGGTGGGGTCAGAGAGAAGAGGGCAAAGTCCGCGAGGGTGTTATCACCACTGCCACCAGGTAGCTGTAAACAGTGCCTGAGAGTCAGGACTCACCTCTGCCGGACAGGGAGCCTGGCATGTGATAGGCACCCCACACGTGACATTGAATTGAAGCCCAGGTGGCCCAGCTAGGTATCTGAGGCTCACTCTCCAACCTGTGGTTCAAATTTGCTGTCATCACATGTCCTAAGACAAACCCTACCTGCACATGCCTTTGCTGACGTATTCTATCTGCCTAGGATGCCCATCTCCCTTTCTCTTAACTTGGCAGGAAATGGAGAAGGGCTGGAGTGAACTCTGGCATTTCCTATGTCTAACTCTGAATCCAGACTTCAGCCTTTATTGTTTAGAGTATGAAGGAATTAATGCGCCTTTACATGCTTTCTCATCGGCAAACTGAAAAGAATCGTCGGGAACCATAGCTCTCGTTTCTTGAACAGGCCCCGCGTGCTAGGCCTGGTTTATGTGCACGAAGTCCTTCTAATCCTCTAGGAGAGGTGTAATGGTTGTCTCCATTTTCCAGGTGAGTAACCTGAGGCCCAACAAGGTCAAGCACCATGTGAGTGAGAGGGGAGAGCAGGCTTTATCGCTGAGATTCTTGCATCTGCTCAGCTGATGGTGTTCTAGAAAATGGAACTTGGGCCTTGGAGGCAAGAAGATCTCAGTGCTTCTCAACTGTGTGACCTTGGGTACCTCACGTAGCTTCTCCGAGCCTCTGTTTCTTCATCAGTAAGTGTGGGAAATAATGGACAACCTCATTGTGGCTTCATGGGACCAGTCCCATCCCAGAGGAACTGGTGACTCCCCCTGTCCCCAAGCGGACTGTCTTTCCAGCCAGCATCTGGTCCATGGTGACCACGCAGTCAGTGCTGGGTCGTCCACCTCTCCTTCTCCAGGGAGCTCTCCCTGACAAGCCCCATCTCTGAACCTACAGCTGGAACAGATCTGATCTTTGACTCCCGAACCCTTGCTTTCCCCATCAGAGCAAGCTCAGCCCCCCTGCCCCCACACCAAAGGGTGAGGAACAAACCTGGAGGGGCTGGAGGCCCCCCTTTCTCTTCTCTGCCTTCCAGCTCCGCCAGCCAGGGCCCCTCATGTGTTCTTCTTTCCCTGGGAACAAGTTGTGTGACTTCCCTATCTGCCTAACATGACTCAAATTCACAGTTCAGCCCAGCTCCTCCTAATCACTTCACGAATGACCCATTATCTGTCAAAACTAAACCAGTCACAGACACAAACCCTGCCCGCCGCCCCGTTCGGCCAGCGTACTCTGACGTTTCTTGGGGCGCTTCTTTCTTGAGGGACCTGGGAAACGACTGTCGCGCTAGCCTGTACTCTGGTCCCTGTGCGGAAGCCTCAAACACCACAGCGGAGTGAGTGACAGCTCCCTGTGTGTGTGTTTGGGAATGTCTATCTCCACACGGGGTTCCCCACTCAGGGCCCCCCCGCCATGGTGCCCCAGAGCCTGTGACCCTCCCTGCCCCTAAATGGACCCCTTCCCCAGCAGAGCAGCATTTGTCACAGCAGACCACCCTGTCTTTCTTGGAATAAAGCATTTTTTCCACTTGCTGACTGGGCCACCCGCTCCCCAGATTTTCTGCCAATCTCATTGGCTCATCTTCTCTGTTTCCTCAGAATGACCCAGGGACCCCAGGGCTCGGTCCTCGGACCACTTTCCTGTGTCCGTAGTCACCAGTGATCTGATCCAGTCTCAAGGACTTAAATGCCACCAGTGCCCTATTCTCTCCCTAACCTGGCCTCTCCCCTCTGTTCCGGACTCCTTTATTTACGAGCTCAGCATCTACCATAACAGTCGATGGCACTTAACATCACCTCATTGCTCAGGCCGAAAATCTGAGTCATCCCTGATGCCTCTTTTTCTTTTATCTGCCAAATTCAATTCATTAGCAAATCCAGTTGGCTCTCCCTTTAAAATATTTCTAGACTCTAACCGTATCTCACCATGTCCACTGCTACCCGAGGTCCAAGCTATCATCCCTGGTCATTGGTCTCACAGATTATTCCAACAGCCTTGTATTAGTCAGAATTCTGCAGAGAAACAGAAACAGTAGAATATGGATACACACAAACACACACACACACACACACACACACACACACACACACATATCCTATTTATATATATATATAAAATTTATATCTTATCCTTCCTTTCTTTGTACAATCTATCTATCCCCCTATCAGCTACCTATCAATCAATCATCTAATCTATGTCTGTCTATCTATCTAGAT